AGTGTAGACGAGTGTATAGTGTATGGAATTTGTGGATATACGGGGATTATATGTGCATAGTTTGTTTACAGAACATTTGAGAGCCGGACGAAAAAGATGCAGGGTATATACGTTGCTCCCATGACAAACGCTGTCATAGTACGTAATGTCATACAGGACGATAATGTTGCCACAATGGATGCTGTCGCAACGAACGATAGTGTTGTCGTGGATATAATTAAAACTTTGAAGACATTTCTGACGTTCATCACAAATTGTTTGAGTTAGCAGAAAAATTAAAAAACATTTTATATATTATGAAAGTACTTACAATACATATTGCGCTTATGGTAACCATTATATATTACATATGGGACACAAAACACGTATGCATTATATACATATAAAATGAAGTAGGGACATACTATTTATTTTCTCTCTAAAGCTTGTTTCCTGCCTTGTAGCACGCATGAACAACTCATTATATTATCCAACAGTACAACATATGCATGCAAACTATGTATATTCGGAAAAGTGTACAAGCAAAATTATAATGTACAAAGCGGAACAATAAAAGTAAATGCTACAAAACTGTGAATAAACTCTAGCATGGAAATAGTACAGCAGGTCATACAAGGAAGGTCGGTCTCATACATGTGTAGGAACATACCATAACATTGACGTTGTTTACCAAAAGTAGAATAATGACGGTATTTCCGATTCGGCGGAGACCGTCGTTTTATTAGCTGCCTACGGTTTTTCGGACTCTCCTGCCTTCTTAGACGCTTCCTGCTTCTCGGCTGCTTCCTTCTTCTCAGGTGCTTCCGGTGTCTTAGGTGCTTCCGTCTTCTCAGCTACTTCCGGTTTATTGGATACATTGGCTGTCTTGGGTACTGCACGCTTCTGCTCTCCCTCTGATGTAATTTTGTCCTTTAGAGCTTTTTTTGGCACTTTTGCTTTTCCCCTTCGGTAGTAGTACCAGATTAACGCAGACAGCAATATAAGAATTATGCTCCCTGAAACTGCACCAACGGATGAAAGAGCTTCCGATAGTTTACCAGAACTGATTGTTACAACCATCATTGTTATATATACACCAAAGACGGCCAATGTAGCGGGGATCCACCATTTATTCCTAGATATAGTTCGCGCTAGTGTACTACAAAGTCCCCTAGTTTGCTCGCTCGTTTCTTTAATGTGTGCTTTATTTTGTGAGGCCACTTGTAACCCGTTTGATCCATCTTTGGGTTTCGGTTTTGCGGAATCTGTGCCAGGCGCAGTTGTTTGCACGGGGCCTGCACTAGGAGTCGCGGGTGCTTTATTTTGCTCTGGTGTTTGCTTATCCGTTGCACTCTTCACCGCATTCCCTTTCGGTTTCTTTTCTTTCTTTTCACTTTGTACATTATGCTGTGGTGACTGCGGTAACGATCCTTCTGATGCAACATTCGTTGTTGGTTTACCAGACTTTCCTGGCTTTTGTCCCGATGCGACTTTTTTATCTGGACCCTTACCAGGACTGAGGAGTAATGTATTATTTGGTTGTGGTGCTTGCATATCCAATTCGACCGTGAGCAATCTACTGATCCTGACACCGAGAGTGTCAAGCTGCTCGGGCCTATGATTCCATGATGTGACAAGTTCATTCGCCTAACATATGGGAAAAAACGGGGGAAGGATATATTTGAGGGCGTTATACAATGCACAATTATTCAGATAAAAGACAAGTACGCACAAGTTTTTTCAATTGTTAGGACCACGAATAACGTCATAATCATAGATGTAAATGCCCATTCTACGCAAGCGTTAATTATTGTGTCGTACGTGTTGGGGATATTGCCACGAGTATAATATGATGCTGAATATGGAAAGTTTGAGAGCGAACATCATTCTGTTCTTTGCTTTTTGTTTTGTTTGAGAATAAAAGTAGATTCCTAAGAACTATATTTCTTTGTACTTATAAAGAAGGGGATTATATGATTATTTTTATATCTATCTGTGTTGACACCACGTGGCTATTCTTGTTTTTGTGCTTGTATTCGATAATTTATATGATTTGTTCTTTATATATACATGTATGATTCCTTCTTATTTTTTTTTCCTTCCTTTTTTACGATGCGCAAATATGATAGGATTGT